TGACATGAGGCTGACGCTGTTGGGGAACTCCTGGCAGGTGGGAGTTGTAGCTTGGTTGATTCTGCAGCTGATGTCTCCGCTTGGTCTGTGCCGCAACTGGAGCTTGCAGACGTTGGTCGATCAATTCACACCGGGCCAGGGGCATAGTTTTTACCATGTTCTCATGAGGCCTCCTTTCCCTAGTCGGCAGCATACTCCCCCAGGAAAAGCCACAGTGGACTTGGTGCGAAGACTCATGGGCATGACTACCTCAAAAGGGGAAGATCTGTTGGTTCACGCTGGAAGTGATCCCCTACCCCGACATTGTAGACTGAGAGCCAGCATTCCGGGTCGTCTTTGGCGCTGGAAGGAAATCAGTGGATGGACCTGGAAACACCCAGGTGATCACATCAATTTGCTGGAGCTTCGGGCTATCCTGACTACTATTCGCTGGAAGATTTTGCGGGGACGGCGCCTGCGGACCCGCTTCCTACACCTTACAGATAGCCTGGTATGCTTACATGCTTTGACTCGGGGTCGGAGCTCGAGTCGAAAACTTCGGACGACCGTCCAACGACTAAATGCCTATCTACTTGCAGCTGATCTTCACCCCCTCTGGGGGTACATCCATACCTCGCAGAACCCCGCTGACCGCCCGAGTCGGCGGCCATTACGACGCAAATGGGCAAAGTAGGCAAACGGGTTTTAGAAGGTCAGACGCGAGAGGATAGGCAAAAGGTTGGAAAAAATTCAGATCCTTGACAGTTTCCGAAAAGACAAGGAGTAGGTATGATGCAGCTACATCTAAGTTCTTCAGTTGGCTTGACAACAATGACCTTGTGCTTCCTCGCAAACGGGAACACTTGGACGGCCTCCTTGCAGAATACGTGGAGCATCTCTGGTCAGACGGCGCGGGCCGAGCTCAAGCTTGTGATACCTTGGCGGGATTACAAGACCGGGACCCTAAGATAAAGGGTCACCTTCAGTTGTCCTGGCGGCTGCTACGTACTTGGAGTACAAATGAAATCCCAAACCGTGCTCCCCCGTTACCACAGGAAGCTCTTCTGGCCATGGTAGGATGGGCCTTTTTTCATGGTCATTTCAGCTTTGGCGTGTCATTGTTGGTGGCATACTATGGCATGTTGCGAACAGGGGAGGTGCTTCACCTCAAGAACTCCCACATCTACATGGCCGGACCTAAAACTCCCGCGGTGATCTCCTTGGGTATGACCAAGGGAGGAAAACGGAGTGGCGCCGCCGAGAGTGTGACGCTGTCCTGTGGTGATGCCCTCAAGTGGTTGTGGGTCTGGAAGACCGCCAACAAGCCTCATGCAAGCCTATGTCCGACAAACGCCAAGTGGCGGCAGTTGTTCTCCACATGTCTCACTGCCCTCTCTTTAGAGCCATTCCAATTTCGTCCCTACAGTCTTCGTACTTCGGTGGCGCCGGGCACTTGTGGACTTATAAGTTACTTATGATGCTACTTAGCTAGATACGTATTTTCGTACTTAGAACCATACTTATAAGTAGACTTGTAAGTAGGTTAAGTAGAAGTATGTGTTTTTCGTGAAGATTTACGAAAAAGCGAAAAACGCGCGCGCAAGCGGTCTTTTTCACTGCAGGAGCCACACGTCTGGTCCATCTTTACGCACGAAGAGCGCTTCACGCCTCTGCAGAAGCCTAGAAACCGCCACAGTTTGATGCATAGCAGGAGTTTGGCGCAACCAGCGCGTGAAGCCCGCCGTCTGAACGCCAGCGTAGGGCCAGAACATTTGCTTCCAGCTTGTGTTGGCAGCGCTCCACTCTTGCTCCCGTGATTTCCACGGCCGTTTTGGCGTCCAAGATGTAGATCTGACCCGGAATGAAGTTTCGCCCCTCAGCAGTGAGCCCATCGGGTGACACTCAAACGTCTGTGCAGATCGCGAGCGGCCTTGGTCCAGTCTGAACTTGTGGCCACACAGGCGGCACAAGCAGTCTGCACCGCTCGCAGGTGCATCTGCGCTAGCCATCTCGGAGGGGGAACTATAGCGGGGTCGCGGTTGAGCCAATGCAAAACTGCAGTGATCTCATGTCAGAGATACCACCAAAAAACGTATCCAGAGACAGGACAACCGGAAGCAAAACTACCACAAATCAACAAAAGTTCGTGAGAGGCCGCGGACAAACAGAAAATCATATATTTTAGAGCGGCGGACATCGCGGACAAGTGTTTTCTCACAGATACGCAGCGTTTCGTCGTCCGCGGACAACCGCGGACAAGGTTTCCCCCTCCGCAGGCTACAAATCCTAGGCTTCCGCGGACAACGGCGGACATCGCGCAGAGTGTCCGTTTCGGCCGCGGACAACGGCGGACAACGGCGGACAACCGCGGACAACGGCGAACAAGCCGTTTTTGTACATCTCAGAACATGCAAAGTCTGCAGCCGCCGGCGCGCAGCCGACATCACCAGCCGCGCAGTTTCCAGCCAGTCGCGCAGTTCTTCCAGACCTGCACGACGCACCAGCGGGATCAAAGACATCAGGGCATGCATCCGCAGCTGTGAACATCTCTTCCACGTGCAAGGCGGGGTTCATTGCCAAGGTCTGCCAACCACCCCGCTGGCTGCGGACTTCTTCCCCGTCCTGTGGTACACCCGGCAGCTATTTGCTGCCGCAACTGCTGTAGAGACTCGTGGTCCCACAATTTCTCATCCAGCATTGACAAGATCTTGCCTGACTGACCTGTGGTCAGATCAGTGACCGAACCCAACTGCTTCAAGAGCGCTCGCAGCTGCTTCTGCTGTGCGTCCTTGTAGCTCGGAAGGCTGCGCAAGCCTTCTAAAAATTTCTGGCCGGCAACCATTGCCTTCTCAAAAGCACCCGCCATACGCGGAAAAATAAATGGAGGTGCCTCCGACCCAACGTAACGCGCCTGTGAGCCAAAACTGCCCAGCACGTGAAAACAAAAATGTTTGCAAAATGACTCTGTTTTAGACATATGTTTAAAAACGTCTTGAAAACATACAAAAAGCTAAGTAGGTTAAGTACTATCGTAAGTAGAAACGACGTTTTCCAACTTCAACAGCATCCTACTTATAAGTAGGGCGGTAAGTAGCTATCTCCATCATAAGTAACGAAAAAATAAATTGAACTTATGAACCACTTAACCTACTTACCAGCCCACTTAACCTCCCTTAAGTACACTTACACTCTTACTTATAAGTCCACAAGTGCCCGGCGACACCGAAGTAGAGGAGGCACCGCATTCTGGTTTTCCCGGCACGGTAACCTCGATAAATTGATGATCGCCGGGCGATGGCAAGCTGTGAAAACAGCCCGAGTGTACATTAACGAGGGCTTATAGCAGTGCTTGCTGAACTCCATTTACCCAGAAACAAACTTCGTCCTTTCACCCAGGTGTTTCACTCTGGAATTAAACCTCAACACTTGAGCGCGAACAAGCGCAAAGAAAAGGGGGACGTGGAAAGGGCAGTTGGGACTCTTTTTTTTGTGCTGATTTTAAGAAGAGAAGAACATCAGCCTAAGGCTCTCGGCTAGGCGAGAGGTCTTAAAAAATGTGAGGGGTATGGTCTCTGTCCGCTTGGACGAAAGTCTATTACCGAGCCTCAGACGAGACAACCAATGAGTCAGTGAGCGACTCAAGTCAAGTCTGGGAGACGACTTGACTCACGTAGTTCTTTATTTTGACCAAACTGTGGAGCGCATCAAAACGAGAACGGTGTGAGTTTTTAGGAAACGTCTCGTGGTTTAAAACGAAACACCGTGTGCGCTTTTTGATTGCAGTGTTTCGGCTTCAGCTCCCGCCCACCCTGCCCGGCTGAGCCGGCTGCACTCTTGAGCTGTTGCCATAAGGGCAGTTGGGACTCTTTTTTTTTTGCGCTGATTTTAAGACTCGGCTAGGCGAGAGGTCTTAGCGGATGTGAGGGGTATGGTCTCTGTCCGGTTGGGCGGACAGAGTCTATTACCGAGCCTCAGAAGAGACAACCAATGAGTCAGTGAGCGACTCAAGTCAAGTCCGGGAGACGACTTGACTCACGTAGTTCTTTATTTTGACCAAACTGCGGAGCGCATCAAAACGAGAACGGTGTGAGTTTATATATATATATACATTAACGCGGCTTTGCAGCCTTTGCTGATCTGCATTGCAGGCCTTTGCGTTCCAGTGTTGTCCACGGCCAACGGTTTGATTTTCTGGCCATGCCAAAACAGTAAAATATGCAAAGGAAGCCATGGAAGCACAATGTTTCATCAGACCGTGAGGCCAGGAACGCAAGTTGCCCTTGTTGAGAGAGCTGATAACGTGATTGGACGGCTCTGTTGCCCCAGGACAGCAACCTTGCAGGCACACTATGGCTCTCTCCTGTTCAATCGCTGAATTGGAGGCCTAATCGCAAACCACCACGTGCCACGAACACGACAAAGCGTTGCTGGGCCACTGTCACACCCGAAATGATACTCCACGTCTCGAAGGCTCTATGCCCCTCCACATCCCGCCACATCCTGGTATCGCTGGTATGTCCAGATCTTGTCGCGAAGTCCTAATCCGACCCAGGGTCGCAGAGTTCTACGATGTGGCTTCGGATTCCATTCACCACTTTCAGGCCTCGCGCCCTGTCAACTTCCAGTGGCTTACCGTGATAATTCCAATTTCCAGGGCGGCGGGGTTTTCTTTCTCAACTGCAAGCAAGTTCGCAAGGCTTCACCACCAAAGAAGCCGCAATATGACAATCTGTCGCCAGGGAGGGTTTGGATGCAGGTGGTGCGTGTTCAGATAATTTGTGACACTGCGACAGAGATACAAAACGGCCGGGTTGGGGCGTCAAGGGCCCAAGGACCTCAAGGCTTAGGCTCCTGTCGGTATGCTTTGCAGTTGCCTTCAATATCCTCGAATCACAATTCAAATCACCATTGCTGGATTTGCACCAGCGTGGCAAGCAGACCCGCAAACAGTGAAGTTTGAGCATGCCTAGCTGTCTAGTCTAGCCGTGCAAAAAGCTTTCATGTGAATGTGGACTTCGAAGGATGCCGCTCCAACAGTACGTGCCGCAGTCGCAAATGGAAATCTTGAGGCAATTGAGGCAACTTGGTCACCATCACTTGCAGAACTGCTGTTCTTTGTGAAATTTTGTGTTTCGTTGAGATACCATCTTGCGCGCGATGGGAGCGGCTGGTTCGTTGCATCCAGCAGATGCAGGCATTCCTCCGTGCCAACAGTTTTGGCGATGAACCGGTGCTATTTCCAGGCTTGCTTGCCGAATGTTAATACATTCTTACATGTAGACATATAATGGCATATACATAGGATGCAATCGGCATGATCCTTGAAAGCTTGGTCCGCCACAGATTCCCCGGTGGATGATGCAGTCAAGTTGGCATTGTCGTCTGAAGCTTTTGGCAAGGCAAGGATTGATGCTTTTGTTGGGTTTGGGGGACTCAGGAGTGCCATGTGTTTAGGTCACAGCACGTGGTATCACAGTTTGGACTTGTCCATGCAATAGAAGGGCTTTCTGCAAGCATTGCTCCTGATGAAGTTTCACGTTTCTTGATTTTGTGGCTTGCTTCATTTCTAGGCCAAATGTGCAATCTTTATTGTCAGCACTTTCAGGGGAAAATCGTACTGATGAGGCAGAATTAATACATAATCATTCATAATCATACTACTTGGAAACTGAGCCTATTCAGCATGAAACTGATTTCACGTGTTTGCTTCTTGGAGGCAGCTTCCATCATTCTGGTTTTGTCTGACGTCGTGAAGCGGTCTGGCGAAGTTCGCAGTGAGCTGCTCCACAAGGCGGCTTGTAACGTGGCCTGCAAGCCATTGCCTGCACTCAATTATCACATCAAGCCCTTCAACATCTTCAACTATGTGTGGTTTCGACTGAGTTGGATCAAGCATGTTGGCCCCCGCGGGTTTGGCTTGAGCGGTCGGTTGATGCGAGGCTTCTACTTGAGAGGGCTCGCGGAGCCCTATGTATGGGGCAGCTACTTGGAGATGAGCGCTGGGGAGAAGAAGCAGGAGGGCCTCACAAAACGGTTCGACCGCGAGGAGGCAAACCCAAGGACCGTCACACATAGAGGAAAAGATGTTGCCGGACCTATCTGACTGTGCAGATGCATTATTGGGGGCTTGCTCTTCGCACTCTTGGTGGGCAAGGTCTTGGACCAGATTTTCCACAGCAGTTTACGCCGGGAAAGTTCAGGCTGCGTTTTGCGCGGCGGAGTCCAATTGGCTTCGTTCTCCTGTAGGTGGCGCAGGGATACTTGTTGTTGAGGCTTGCATGACCGGAAAGCAGTGGTGCGTGCAGCCGCTCGGCATCTTACAATGGAAAGGGCGTTGCCACGGCACTTCGGACAACATACCCTGACCACTTGTTCCAAGCAGCGAAGCCAGAGGAAGAGACCTACTCGGATGACAGTGCCTTTGAGATCTTGTCAGCACTGTCCTTCCACTCCTCTTTGCTGTGTACAGGGGTGCATCTACTTCATCAGCACCAGCCCCCTTCTCTTCTTCATCTTCCATGGTCTCCTCTTCCCACTCTTCTGTGTGTTGCTGCCCTCCCTGTTCCTCCACCTCTGCCTTCTCATCTTTTTGCCTTCTTGCTTGAAGATCCTGGGGCAAGGTCCCCCTCCTCATCTCTAGCTTCTTGCCTTGTCATCTCCTTCACCAACTCCTCCACGAACCGCTCTTCTTCCTGAGGCCTTGTAGTCTGTATGCAGCAGCCACCATGTCGTCAAAGAAGGCATCCAAAGGCAGGTCTGGAAACTGGCTTGCGTTGAGGCTCCTCTGCCATGTCCTCCTTGTGAGAAGATGTAGGGGCCCCTGTCCACAGGTCATGTCCCACAGAGGCATGTCCTCCCCCTTAGCCCTTAGCTTTCTGCCCATAGGACTTTCCTTTTTCTTTCCCTCCCTGCTCTCCTGCCTGCTGGTGTTTTTCCTCTTCTCCTGCTCCTGGCTGCCTGCTGCTGCTCTGCTGTACTGTGTCTCCTCCCACCATTTGTCATCCCAGCCTGACCAGCTGGACCTTTGGTCCCATCCATCATCCCACCCACCATGCTCCCAGCTTGCCATGGTTCCTGGCAGATACCT